TTTTTCAAAAGCTGCCCTTCTATTTTGCAACAGGCCCTTCCTGTGCCATGTTTAGCTCATTCAAACCCGCTGCAGTGTTTATACCTCCCACTGCATTTCCTACAGTGGGTATTTCTAAACCAGCTTTGCTGATGGAGTCCTCTCCAAATGGTGTGTTAAAGACCAAATGATTTAGCACATAATTAAGAAGTAAACAATGATCAGCAAGAGGTCTGCTGTGTCAGCTACAAGGCATGGCTTGGATGCAAGAAGCAGCAACATGCCAAGAAAAATGAGTGAATCTGTGTGTCTGTATCTTGATGTGGAGAGGCAGCTTCTGCTCCATCCCCAGTGGAGACACAGTTCAATGGGTATTTTCTTTTGTTTTGCCAGGGGCAACAACAGCGGTTCAAAGGACACCAGTGTGACAAAAGAGCTTCCTGCAGCCGCCAGGAATGTGCATGGATGCTTCACCTGGGCTTTTGCACACACTCCAGCTGGTTCGTGTGGAAGGGCTCGTTTCCTGGCCCTGCTGCTCCTTGTGCTGTACGAGAGATGGTTCTGTGCTTCCCAGCACCAGTGCCTGAGCTCTAACACCAGTGACAGGAACTGGTGCTGCTGGTGTAGATCCAAGTGCTGTTTTACAGTACCCAGGCAAATGGATTTGTAGTGAGGGAAGGGAGCACTTAAAAAGAAAGAGCTTGGTTCTGCTTCCCCCATATCTCATCCCATTTTGGCGCTGGGCATAAAAGAAGCAGCATGCCTAAGGCCCAAAACCAGAATGTTCCTTTTATTCAGTGATTCCCTAGCTTTTAGTGCAAAGGAAAGAATCAAGACACACAAGATTATTGTGCTATGGATTTATAATAACATTTTATTTATATATTATGCTACAAAAATATTTTGATAAAATAATATTAGAAAGCATCTTTTTATTACACTCTTCAAAACAGTTCACAAAAGCAGGAGGCAGAACAGGAAAAACATATCTGAAATATATTTTAATTGAATTGAAATCTGTCAAATACTCAGTTTGAATTTCGATGTGAGCATGAATCTGCAGGATAGTTAATCAGTCCTGTAGAAGGAAACTATTGCCTACTTATTGCAAAGACCTCTCTGCCTTTACCTAGATTAAGGTGCCTCCTGAAATGTTAGTCACAGGAAAGGCTGAATTTGGGTTGGGACAGAACACAGACAACACACACATGTGAATGTACACACACACATACACACACACACACACACACCCCCTCCCTATGATCTCAAACTTCAGCAAATTATCTTTCTGCTTCAGTTAAGCTGAAACATGCTTAAATTGAAGCTGAGTTTTAGCACACTCCATGGAACATTGATCACTTCAGAGATATGACAAGACCATATAATTTTTAGATATAATACAGAAATACGGTACTAAGCAAAGTTTGGCATGGTAACATTTATGCTGAGATAATAACTTTGGCACTTTGGTTTCTCTAACAAAAATATATGATGGGAAATTCCTCCCTAACAGTGGTATATGGTAATGACTGAGTCATATCATTTGACTAATCAATGCACTAAACACAGATTAAGTCCTCCTTCTTTCCATCTCTCTCTTTCTCCACAATTGTATATTGAAGAACTTAGATAAATATACAACTCTGTACCTTGGGTGTTCCTAAATTATAGTGGAGCTTGGAGGAATGGGAAGTTCAACAAAGCAGATTTTTGACACCTGTATAAAGCATAGTTATCATAAATCACGTTCATCATTTATTGCCAGAAGATGTATTGCATTATTCAACAGCTCGAGGGATTGAAGAGAAAATACATCAGTCATAAAATATAAAATACCTTCTGTCCCAGCTTACTGACTGGTTCTCCAAGTGGCAGTGCATATTAATATAGTATCTGTAGTTAAGAAAGAAAAGCATTAAAACACTGAAAGAGGAGAGATTAGATTTGCTGATGATATGAGATTATTTATTTTGCCGGGGCAAGATCTTGGCAGATACTCAGTATTTGTTTACAATGCTACAGTTACATTTAATGTGAACTGTGTTGGTGTCCCTTGTAGCTGGGTTGAGAAGATGAATCAGTGACCATCGAGCTTTAGACTCATCCAAAGTTGTGTCCCAGATTGCCAGACACTGGGTGACTCTCCTGATTCTGTTTCTCAGAGATAAGCAGGATCACCAGTGTTTTCTATTATATGTGGTGGGCATGAATGTTTTTGCTAAATCTCCTGCTCTTGGAATCTTGTGCTAACGTGGGAATCTGAGCTTTCCTTTGGAAGAAAGAGTCGAGTCAGTTTCTAGTTTTCTGAGAAGCCCACAGAGGAAACTGAAGCCCCCTGAAGCTGGTAGTCAGTGTTGCTTCCAAAGCATGTATCAAATCTGGTCCAGGTTTTAATGGTTTAGAAAATCTTTAGAAATTCAGAAATCATGATCTATTGTGACAATGTGCATAAGTCTGTGCTAACCACTACTACAGTGTTTTAATTAATGCTGGGCTGCCATAGCTGATTAGTAAAGAACCCATTTTATCAACCACAGTGAAGGTCCATTATCCAGCACTACTTTGCATACAGGTCCTGCATTGAAGAAAGTGACCCTAAGTCGTATTTTAGGGTAAGACAAGAGAAAAAAAAGCAGTGTTTGGTTAGAGACCTGTGCTGAAGCCATTCATGTGGGGTTCCTGAGCTAAGATCTACAGAAATCTATTTTACCTTTAAGTCATGTCTCCTCCCTGAGGCAGAGAGAGTTCAGCTGATTGAGGGAGCTGCTCAGTGGCAAAAATCAGGTGCATAGACCCCACATTCAAGGAACACCTTGTTTTGACTCTGCACTGCACAAATGTGGGGCCCCAGCACAAGGGTTCCAGTAAAATTCATTAATTACCTAATTACCAAGAATTACAGATAAAATGCCAGGAAATGCAAAGATGTTAAAACATACTCTGATATCCAAGCCATTCACATCCTGTAATAGCCAGACATACCACAGTATCTGTACTAATGAATATTGAATGTTACTGTCCAGTGCAGGAGAGACTCAGAAAGCCTCACTGGTGATAAGAGAGACTATTCTGTGCAGCACAGTGACAGCTTGGAGCATGGAGAGATCTGTGTGCTTCTCATATTAAAAAATAAAATAAAATAAAATAAAATAAAATAAAATAAAATAAAATAAAATAAAATAAAATAAAATAAAATAAAATAAAATAAAATAAAATAAAATAAAAGGAGCCCCAGAGGTTTATGGAGAAAGCCACAGATTGGGAAACTTCAGAATTGTAATTTCTAGTCTTGGTCCTGTTGTTGGTTTTCCTTACAGTCTTGGACAAGTTGTTTCTGTTTTCTCTTATTTTTTCTCTCCCTTATCTTTACATGGCCTTGTCTATTTATACTGTAGGTTTTCCAACACCTGAAATTATTCCTGGGATAGTACCATAAAATAATTTCTGGATACGATCTGGTTACAGCAAATAAAATTCAATGGGTTTTGGTTTGTTGGCTGTTCACTTTTACTATGTAACTTATCATCACCCTTAAGATTTACCTACCTTATTTCCAGTTACATTCTTGTAAATAAGACATTATAATTCAGTTTTCATCTCTGCCTTGAACACATCAGGAGAACCAATAATCTTTTTAAAATGCATTAATATTGAATTTGAAGGTCTCTTAAACCATTATATTCAAATGAAGGCATTTCTAGAGTAATAGCTCAAATAAAACCAAAATGAAAGTTCTCAAAATATGTTTCCAATATCCATCTCTGTGCAATAAATATTATGCAAGGTGAATGGCTTCTGTCCAAAACTAACATCTCTAATCTTCTGCTAGCCAAAATACACAATATGAAAGTATGCACAGGGTCTGTTTGAATCTCACATTTGGGGCAAAGCTCAAAGTTTTCCATTCAGCCTTATCACAGAATCACAGAATAACCAAGCTGGAAGAGACCAACTGTTGTACTTACAAACAAAAAAAAGTGTGTGTGGGGAAGCTTATAGCACCCTGTGCTATTACCCACTTAAATTGACCAGAAACCTACACAACCTGCTGTCAAAACTAGAGCAAAGGCTGGGGATCATGGTATGTTAAAAAGAAGTTACCTGTATTGTCCCTGGCCTCTGCAAGGCAATGGGCTGGGAGGCATGATGGAAATGCTCAGTATTCCACCATGAAACCCTGTGATTTTTGCAGTCTAGTTACTTTCTAACTTACTTTCCTAAAATAAATGGTATGAAACGAGCAAACTGAATTCTGAACTCTCTCTGACTGCAGACTCTTGCAGATTGCATGGAATCATCTGCAGCTCCAGAGACCAGGCTGTAGGGCTGCTGGGAAACTTACAGGGTTGTTTCAGCCAGAATTTTATCAGTAATGTTATCATAATTTTCGTCATTATCTTTTTTCCAAGGTGAAGAAGCACTGCTTTTCCATAAAGAAAAGCTTGTATTGTATTTTTCTGATTTTGAGACTTCTTTTCTAAATTAGATTATTTCATCACATAGTTTTGATTTTTGGTTTGTAGATGACTTAGAAAAAAACCCATTATTTCAACCAAAACTCATTTTCTGAACTCTTGTATCCAAAGAGACTTTTCATCATGTTCTGGTGGTGAAAAAACATCTACATGCCTTTTTAAACATAATAACTTTTAAGATGGCACCAGGTTTTTTCCCCCCATAGATGATATAAATCTCATTCCTCAACAACAGCTCTTTGGATGGGTAGCATATTTTTCAGTGAGGGTAAGGTGTCATAACTTTTCCATCTAAGTCAGGTACTATAGCCTAAAAATGGAAAAATGTTCTGAATGTCTCATGGGGGTTAGTTTGATTCCTGTGGTGTTGAGCAGATTTTGGACAAGACATTATTATTTCAGCACAGGGATATAGGCTCTATCAGCTCATGGCAGCAAGAGAAAAAGGAAAGTGTAGATGTTTTTTGCTTCCAGGTTGTCCATGGGCATTAATATAACTGATACAAAGGAGTTCTATAGATTAACAGGACACTACATCTTTATAACCTATAGACACACCGAGCTCTCTTCTCATTTATGCTAGAAAAGGTTGTAGGCTTATGCTTATATAAAATGAGGAAGAGAAGAAAATAATTCCAAGTAGGATTATTCCAGACTTTAAAAGCAATTTTTTATTAAGAAAAAGGTCTCTTAATTTGTGTTAGCTGGTGAATTAATCCCAGGGCAAAGAGGGAACCTGGTGATTTCCAAAGAAGTAAAATAGTTTAGTTAAAGAAAACGGGGGGAATGTAGAGGATTATCCTGACTAATGACTTACTAAATCATGTAAAAGTAACTGTGATTTTAGATTGTGGCAGCTAATGAGTTAAGAATGCACTTATTTTTCCAATGGGAACAGGCCCCAGAGAGCAGGATCTGCTTTATTCAGAGTAAGCTATACTAATGAGACAAAAGAAGTAAAATAAAGAAGTTCAGCAGAAATGTACTTATTGGACAGTTGCTGTAAAATGTAATGGTTAAAGAAACAAAGAAAGCATTCATTTGGTGTCAGTTCAGACATCTGCAGAGTTATCAGAAAACAAATATAGAAAATATTAATTTATCTGTTTCACCATCGCTACAGATTAATAGGGATGTTATTAACATATACAACAAGAAAAATAAGTTTACCAGTTGAATAAATACATTTTTTCTTTTTCTTTTTTTTCTTTATATGAACATGTATATTTTACAAAACCCCATAGCACTATGGGAAATAAAGATCCTTCTACAAAAAGAAGATGTAAGTCAGTGTTACAATAAAGCTTTAGAGTTTCAAAATGTATCTGGGCAAAGAGACAAAATCAGCTAGAAGGCACTACTGAGTCACTGAGAAGGTCCAGCTTGGAACTGTTGCTGTCTTAAACTCCAATTCATTCATAAATTATCTCTCTTCTCTATTCCAGGGGATTGGATGCAATACTAATGTGGTCAGGAGGGCTGCAGTAGGTTCAGAAGAAAAGAAGCTATGGCCATGCAGAGAGGAAATGTTACTGATGGCCATGAAAGGCTGGCTGGGGCTGAGCTCGTGGGCTGGGGCTGGGATGGGCGGTCGGGACGTGGCCTCTGATCCAGCTGGTTGGAAATCCAGATGGGAGGTTTGACTGTGATGTAGCCATTGGTTATCCTGATATAGGAAGGCAACGTGGTGGTGCTAAAAGAAAACACAAGACAAGGAAATTAAACAGGAGAACCCTTATCTCTGCTCTGTGAATTGTCATCCCAAGTAGTAGCAACCACAATGGCAATTCCAATTATTGCTGTTATTATTATTATTGCTTGCACACATGAGACACCAGGGAGAGAGCCAGACTGATAACTGCGATGATGTGGAAACAGCTCTGATCCAGGATGCCCCTCAGCTCCTGGCTGCTGCCAAAATACAGCCAAAGCAGGGACTGCTCTTAATGTATCTGACTTACTGCACTCCATTTTTGAGCATCCATTATGGCCAGCATCAGAGATTGTGCTAAATGTGTCCTTGTGCTGACCCAGGGTGACCTCGTTCTTTTGTCCCTTCTTCCCACCAAAGGTCTCCAAACTTGCCATGTCTCAGTGACATGTCTAATTCACCATGAACCTCATACTGAGTCCAGAGGGTCCCAAACACATTCCTTCCCTGTTTCAAAAGCCTTACAGAACTTCCCAGGATCCCCTTACACAACTGATAACCTTGAGCACAGGAGAGCAAGCAGGTTCATCTCTTTTCCTGCCTTTATGCCATTTTGGATCAAATCACAAAGCCAAAACCAGGCTCAGTCACTGTTAGGTTTCCCTGACTGTGGATTTGCCTCACTAGCAGTGTGATTGCTTATTGATTGTAGCTTGAGTTAGTACTTTGATTTGAATTTGCAGGTTGGAATTCATCATGACTCCCAAGACACGGGAGGTCAAAAAGGTCCATTTACGATTGATTTGGAAGTTTAAGTTGTAATCTCCATTTCATAAAGTGCCCCCATTGCATCCATTATTGGATGATCCATAATCCACCAGTTGTCAGGGAGCAGCACAACCAAGCATGCAAACTGCACAGGGTGGATTTTGGACTTAAACCCAAGACATTCTGCTGAGAAGTGAGGAGAAATATGGCAAGCTCCTCTGAAAAAAAGATGTGACGCTAATACCTGAAAAGTCTCTAAATCTTCCATAAAGGGGATTTGGAGGCACTGAAAATGACCCTCATATAACTTTTTAATGGGGTAAGAAGCTATGCAGTCCCATAAATATTTAGCTATAGTATCCAAGATCTTGACCTTGGAAGAAAAAGGTTGTGTCTTGCATAATATAAGATAAAAGGAGTAACATCTTACTTCAGATTCATGCACACAAACAGAATTTAGAAGGACTAAGGGCTTTTGTCTTTTTCTGCCCAAGCAATACCAATATAGATTTTAGCTGAGATGCTTCAAATGCGCAGAGTCAATCACAGACTGAGAAGATCAGAGCCCACCCAGAAGGGGGCATTGGTCAACATCAAATCCCATGGACAATCCCTGCACATTACACATCACCCTGAGTTTTGGGAGAAGTCACTTCATTTCTTCCCTCATCCTTTATACTGTCACCAAAGCTTCTGGGTGGGATAGTTATTCTGCAGCTAGAAGTGACCTAAATTAATGTGCAATGAATTAGAGTAAAAAGAGAAGGCAGTCTTCAATTAAAGACACAGGAATTGCTTCATGGGAGCAGACAATCCATCTAACCAGTATTAGGATTCTGACACTGAGGAGCAGTGCTTGCTCCAGAGCAACAAACTGCTGTGAACAGAGAACTCTGAAATCAAGGCTTGTTGGACAAAGTTCTCTGAATTCCCACAGTGAGTGATTGGTTTATGTCTTGAAGGGATGACCTAAGACACACAGCTTTAGAGTTTCAGCTATATTGCATCAAAACTGCTGCAGTCATTTAACACAAAGAGCTGGTGTGTGATAAACTCCTGCTGCTGTTCCCAATCTGCTTGGCAGGAATGGCACTGGATTAGGCACTGTGTGGCCAAGCTCCTGTAACATAACATCAGCATGAACAGCCTTCTCACAGTGAACACAAAGCATCACTAAAGCAAACTTCTCACAAAAAGAGGTACTACATACTCTGAGTAATCCAACACAAATGCAGTCATGCTTCAATTTCTCATCCAGATCTCATTTATCCTGCTCAGTGATGATGTGGTGCACAGGCCTGGCACTGACAGTGGGATCACAACTTGGGTTTTTCCCCTATACCTGGTTTTCCTAAGGTAAGCATAGGTAGGTGTTTGTCCTCATCTTTTGGTACTGATTGTCACGTTACAGAACTGCAAAACTTTGCCCTGAATTAAATTTTAAACTACAAGGAGGGTCTGATTTTAAATTTTAATTAAAAAAACCCAAATCACCAAAATGCCATTCAGATTTCCAGTTTGTGTGTATCCTGCTCTTGACACATTCTATGAGCTTGATCCTCCAGTGAGATTTAAGTTTCCCTTGCACAAACTGCCTTTCTACTCCTCAGGTTTGTTCTGTGCACACAGGCTGGCCAGGGAACCTGTAAAAGCATCACAAGCCCACTCATCAGCAAGCTACATCTAAGAGACTCCTCCAGCAGTCTTAAATCAACATTTTATGCCTCTGTATGATGTTTCTGTGCTCTAGTTAACTTTCATAAGTGTTTTGGTTTTGCTTCTTGGGGGGATTTTTTTTTTGTTGTTGTTTGGTTAGTTTTTGTTGATTTTCTTTTCTCCCTTATTCAAAGACCTGAGAATTGTTGACCACTTCTCCTTAGTTAATGAGGTTATTTCCTGTTTTCAAGACATTACATTTTTATAAAAGCATTCCTTTTAAGATAGAAAGATACTGTTAGGTGGGGTTGTTTGTTTTCAAAAACTCCTTGAGTGCTTTACAAGAGAAGAACAGTGTGTTTCCACTAATGTGTACAAAGCATTTGCTAATAGCAAATGAACCACAGTTTATCCATACAAAACATTTTCTTAATGTACTTTTAGCTGACTGCCAAGGTGGTTTAGAGATATTTAAGGAGAATTATCCCTTTTACCAAATGCTACAAGTCCTTGTAAATCCTCTGCTCCCAGTTTGTAACTAGGCTGTTTCTGTAGCAAATGGGGAGAGAAACCTTTGCAGAAGCTGGTCCACCTCATTCCAGTGCAGGTCTCTAGGGTATCTTACTCTTGCTCAGGGTCTTTCACTTCCTAGGAGTTACAGAGGGGCCCTGGACAGCCAGGTTGGATTATAACCTAATCTTAGAGGTGGCCCTGGTGTCAGGAGATGACTTCTGCAAACTCCCTCTGAGCACGTTTGCATGTGCATGGAGGATCTCACTGACCCTCGGACATTCCACTAAGGATGAAGCAGAGTCCCCTGAACTCAACCAGAAACCTTCCTTGGGGAGGGTTTGAGCATTCCTGAAATGAACATAGATAATAAAATGAATGAAATGAACATAGAGAATAAAAATTAATCACAGAACAGTGGGATAATAATTTAAATTATTATCACGTCTTCTTTTGCCAGACCAGCATATTCTATATTTCAGCCTTTTGTGTCTGATAAAAATATCTTTAATAAAACATTACACATGATCTGTGGTTAACAGGCAACCACTGGCTCTGCTGTTCATACCTCTCTTTTTTGCTTCTGTGTATGGGATTGTTTTAAAAACTTGGAAGACTCCAGGTACGATTTAGCCAAATGACCTGCGGTATCATATTCATGAGCTTGTTCTTTTGATCAGATAATAGGGCAGTTTTTCAAATCAGTGCATTACTCATACATTGTCTTACCATCATTAGAATGTGTAAAACTTTCCCCAAAAATGGGGCCTCAGGCACAGGCTTTGTGCACAGATTCTACTGAATGCAATTACATGATTCAAGTCCTCTAAGCTGGGGGTGTGCTGAAGCACCTTGATGATTTGGGAGCATTTTAAAGCTGAAAAATAAAACAAACACACAAGCAATCTGTTGAGGGAATTTCTGCTCTGATTTGTCTTGGGAGGACTTTGAAGGGAGCTCACAAACTAATTTTTAGCATGACTCGGTTCATCCATGTAGGCAGGGTTCATCTGACCAAAAGGGGCCACAGCAGAAGGACACAGGTTAGGACCAGGAGAATCTTTCTGGCACATCTGCCCCAGACACAGGAAGATGATCTAAACCCCTCCTGACATTTATGTCTCATCCAGTCTCTAAAAACCAGTGATAATGGTAGCAATTGCACAGTCTGTCCAGACATCCATCCCAGCATTTCACCATTTCTGACTCCCAGAATTACTGCCTAATGTTTCACCAAATCTCCCTTGCTACAGTGTAACCTCATGACTTGTCCTGTCCCCATGGACAGGTTCATTCCTCTCCTCGTCTCAGCAGCCTTTCACATATTTTGAAGATTTAACCATATTTCACCTCAGCCTTCTCTTTTTTAAACTATTCCCTCCACCTTTCTTTGCAGGTCCTCAAGTGCTTTCCCTCTATCCTTTCCTCTGCTCTGCCCTGGCTCTGATCCATGTCCTCTCTGGAATGAGATGCTCCAAACTGGAAACAGTATGCCTAGGTGAGATCCCACCAGCCCTGTGCTTGGTGCAGCAGGTACCACTGCCCCTATGTCTGCAAAGTGCATGAAAAACAGGCAGTCTCCAAGAGGACAGACAGTGTTGGCACTGCTTTTTGCCCCCAATGTCCAAACCACCATTATGGTCCCAGGAACTCTTCTGAAGCTCATGGAAAACTGATGGTTCTCTGAGGGGGTGAGGACCAACCCAATTATCCTGATATTTCTATCCATTTTTGAGCTGTTGCTGTGCCTTGGTCCCAACATGGTTCTGTTCAGGGTGGAGGAAGTAATCCTTTCAAGTATAACTTACAAAGTGTTTGGGGATTTTTCTGGATCAAAGGAGCTATGTAAACACAAGACAACTATTTTTAATAAATGTAAGCAAATGTTGACTCAGACAGCCTTTCTTACAATAGCATCTGATGAAAGAAGCTAGATTGAAACCTGAAAAATGCATGTTTCAATTGAAAACCTAAAAAGCTAGTAAAGTGAAAGAAAATTTTTGAGTAAATACAAGAGTGACTGTTTTGCATTTGTGATTTGATGTTAACCTTATGATGGCTAGGGGTTTTCTTAAGTGATATTAAGCATATGCTTCCTGTTTCTTTTC